CTTGTCGTCGTCTTAGGAATATGCTTTACTTGCTCAGGAACAAGGTTAAAATGCACCGGTGGTGAGGAACGGCTGACGCGATGCCTCAAACAGCTTCACTACATTATCATTCAAGATGCCTTTGAACGCAACTGTATGCACTAATGGACAGATTTCTAAAATTGGGGGATTCCGTTATGATACATTCCACACATTAAGAGTTATTGGTTTTTCACATTTCAAAGCACCTAGGCATTGAGCGTGCCAAACTTTGGCTGATTCGGCCCATACTAATTACTGCTCACGCAGTTCTTAACGTCGTTTTCTGCTATTGTTTGCAGCTCTCCTGACTAAGAACAAGAAGGAAAGCAGGGTTCAGGGAACACTCAGTGAAGTTGAAAGAGCTACTATGAAGTGGCTTGCCCATGCTCAACAAAGGTTGGATGAAGAGACCGGACCAAGAAATAAGGAAGCTTCTCCACGCGTTAACGCTTTTTTTTACCCAAGTAGGTTTTACAACCGATTGATACTAAATTCTTAAAATGATCCAACAACCTCTGCATCAGAATTAATTGGGGGGCTAGTTGGTTGAACATCTAGACGGTGGTTTTGAAAGCGCAAAAGACTGAGAAGAGAAGGAGGGGACAGGACAGAGCGCTTACTTACAACTGTCAAATTTAATAGAGCATCTAGAGAACGACAAGGTGGAAGTGAAAAAAGAAAAGGAAGAAAAGAAAGATGAAATTAAAGTCACTGCTGCTAAAAAGAACATATTTAGTTTTATAAATCGAAATAAAAATTATTTTAACTTCAGCCAAAGGCAAAGTACTTGTCACGTAAAAAAAACTCTATACTACAAAAAGCAAAAGAAAAAGAAAAACATGAAATAGAAGTTTGGCTTTGGAAGACCTTCTCAACATCATACAAAAAGAATATGCAAGATCGTTCGCTCCGAGATGTGGAGGCAGGTCCGTTACTTCAGGACTTGCCTCTGGGCTCTTGCCGGTTGTGGAGACCCCGGTGGCGGCCAAGGACGAAGGTACAGAGCCTTCCTTGACAGAGCAAGTAAGGAGACGGAATTCCTGTGGTCTTCATATATTCCACATATTAAAAGTCTCCGTGCCCAAAATAACCAACGCAAGGGAGATTACGTAACCTTGTTGGGGGATGCTACAATACCTACAGATATAGGCAAGATACTCGAAAAAGGTCCAAAGTTTTGCACACCACCAAAAATGCAGGGCGTACAGCTGGTGTCTAAGATACACGACATAGCGGCTAAGGCCCAAGAAACTGATAGAATTCGATGTGTGGACGATTGTGTTGATGTGCTGCTACATACTGGTCAAGTTAATGACAAGAATATGAGAATTCCTTCTATTGTCAATTATTTCAAAACGAATAGCCTAAGCCTTCTAGTTTCTGATAAAGAAGGAGGTTTCGTTGTCATTCCTAGGTCACTCTACTTCGAAAAAGCAGGGAAGGCCATAGAGAAAAACTTTAACCAGTTGCATGATTTCAAAACCAAGAGAGTGAAGGCAAAGGCACTCCAACTGTGCCACAGGCTTGAGCTGGAGCAATTGAGGAAGACAATTACTGCTACAAAAAAGGACCATTTGGATATGTTTTTCACGGCAAAAACACACAAGGACGAATGTCCTTTCCGAGTTGTGGTCACTGAGAAAGGGTCTTGGCAGGGTTTAATGTCACGGTTCCTCTTAAGCCATTTGTTGAATCTCCAGCTGAATGACCCATTCCTAATAACAAATTCAGAGGAACTTATTAAGTATCTGCAACTAAATGCAATGACAGTGCGCTTCGGCTTCTCACTTGATGTGGAGGATCTGTTTTACTCAGTACCTCACATCAAATTATTTGCAGCAGTAAGTGAATGTATTGAAGCCAATGGAACTATTTCATTTCAAAACAAGTGCGGCATTCCGATAGAGTCCTTCTTAGAACTTTTAAAGCTCTACCTTTCTGCTACAGCCGTCACATTTGAAGGTAATTCTTTCCTACAAAAGAAAGGTATATGTATAGGTTCCTGTGCGGCACCTATATTATGTGATATTTACTTGTCCCAATGTGATCGGGCAATAGACAGTACACTTTCTAACAGCCATGTATCTCATATTTTTCGATATGTTGATGATTACCTCGCTCTCCTTCAACATCGTCCAAGTGAGAATGAGACGCAAATATTCAACATCATCCAATCTAACTTTTTAGAAAATGGCCAAGGTCTCAAGTTCACCCAGGAATCACCAGTGAACTCCGTACTCCACTTTTTAGATCTAAGACTGGTGTTCTCCGACAACCACGCTTGCTGGATGTATTCCCCTCGATCGAAGAAAGGTCTTTTACAGTATGATTCGGCTCACTCCAAAATTATAAAAAGAGGAATCGCAAAAAATTGCCTGAATACAGCCCTTAAAAAATCTTGCATGCACTCAGCGGGGGAAAGCTTCGATGCTCAAGTGCAAAGACTGAAAGCGTCGGGATATCCGAATTCCATAATATATGACGTCGCCGAATCCTTGATGACCTCAAATAAAAAACGTGACACTGAAAAACGAAAGAAACACCGACCGATTGTTCTGCCATATATACACCGCTTGTCCCACAACTTGAAGAGAACAGCTGCGAAGTTTCAAGTCCAAGTGGTGCTTTCAGCTCCGGACAAACTAAAAAGGCTCTGCCCTAAGATCAATTGCCAACAGCATCAACAGGCAGAGTGCAGTGTAAAACATCGACTCAAGTATGTGGATTGTCAAAGTGGAGTGGTATATCAAATACCGTTTACATGCGGCAAAATGTATGTAGGTCAGTCGGGGCGATGTATTAATACCAGATTAAGAGAACATACCCAAACAATAAAATCCTCACCATCGGGACATCTTGCGGTGCATGTCAGAGACTGCAAATGCTCACCAACATTCAACCACACCAAAGTTCTAAAGCGGTTCCGTGACAAAAACACCAGAGAACTGTACGAGGCTCAAGTCATCCTCACCAGTGGCGACAAGTGCATAAACGCGCCATCAGTGACCCTAACACAAAAAGAACTTCAGTTCTTTCGGTGTTTCCCCTGAAGACCTGAAACACAGAGAGAACCTCAGTTCTAGCGGTGTTTTATCTGAAGATGTTTTAGCCGTTTGCTCAGCGTAATTTTTTTCTCTTCTATTTCATGTTTTTCTTTTTCTTTTTCTTTTTGTAGTAGAGAGCTTTTTTTTACGTGACAAGTACTTTGCCTTTGGCTGAAGTTAAAATAATTTTTATTTCGATTTATAAAACTAAATATGTTCTTTTTAGCAGCAGTGACTTTAATTTCATCTTTCTTTTCTTCCTTTTCTTTTTTCACTTCCACCTTGTCGTTCTCTAGATGCTCTATTAAATTTGTCAGTTGTAAGTAAGCGCTCTGTCCAGGGGGGCTATGTTGCGCTTTTTGCACTCCCAGGAGACTTGGAAGAGGGAAGTGACGTCAACGACTAGAGCAAATGCAGATTGGATGTTGACAGAAGAAAACGAAATCAACATCCAATCTGCATTTGCTGCGTTGTTGACGTCACTTCCCTCTCCCTAGTCTCCTGGGAGTGCAAAAAGAGCAACAAAGCCCCCCTGTCCCCTCCTTCTCTTCTCAGTCTTTTGCGCTTTCAAAACCACCGTCTAGATAAACAACAACCTTTGCCCCTCAATTACGACACATTTCTGTGAAATGTGTTGTCCCAATAAGATACTATTTTGGTACCCACAATGTCCAGTAAGATTTTTCCAGGAAGCTCTTCTGGAGGTTTTTCAGAGTTTAACTTGGGATGCTTTTGGGAACTTTTTGGAAGTTGCCTGGGACATCCCAGGGATGTCACTAATGTCCCGGAACAATATACTTGGGATTTCCTTGGGACATTTCTGCGTTGTCTGGGTAGAAGAGGGCCACCTTCCCCACAAGCGTACATCTGCCTCAACCCAAGACCGCAATCCTGCACACCATGAATAACACTTCCACGGCTCTGAACCTTCGCTGCTCGCAGCAGCCTCCGACCATCTGGCAGTAAAACTGCCGTGGACTCCGCAAGAAAAAAAAAAAACCTCAACCATTTGACTTTTATGGACACCCAACCGGACATCCTCGTCATTCAAGAAGGTGGTGGAGTGCTCAACCTACGCAGCTAAGACATGTTTTCCCAGCCGAGCATTACCCATTGTCGTCAGGGCACTGCGGACGAAAGCACCACCCCATGGTGGTGCTTCCATCCTGTAATCCCTGTAACGATATATACAAGGATTATGAGTGTCGCCAGACTAATGAAGTGGAATAACTCTGCCTCTTTTCCACTCTTTAGGTAAACAACCATCGTTAAAAGATTTAGAGAAATTATGATCCAAGATTATAGAGCTATTTTCACTTGTGTTTTGCAAAAACTTTGAATTAATACCATCAAGGCCACAAGAAAGACTATGATCACTTTAGTTTACTTATGAACGCTGGGAAAATCCCAGTAAGAGCCTTCATAAACGTCCTTCATTGAACCTTTTTGTTTGCAATGTTATGACTGAGAAATGCTATGCATTGCGAGGCTGCATGCTAATCCCTCTTTTGCTTTGTTTTTTCATCACTAGTGAATGTTCACGTCACAGCTCCCAAGAACAGATGGATGACGTCCAAAAAGTTCCAGTAGTAGCTAGGGAAGAATAGGGCCCGAACATTGACGACATGCGGCGACTGCTAGTGCGAGGCCGAGCGCTCAACGTAAGACCCCGGCAGCTAAGGACGTGATCGAGGAGCGCGGCACTGACGTCGTGTACGTACCAGCTGGATCCACCAGTCTGCTTCAGTCCACTGACATGTTTTGGAATAAACCATTCAAGGCCAGTCTTCAGAGGACCTGGGAGGCTTTCATGCGAAAAGAGAAGACTCCAAAAGGCAACCTGCGAAAGCCATCACGGAAGGACGTCCTGGACTTCGTAGCCAAGGCATGGTCTTCCATCCCGGAAGAAACTGTCGCGCATTCATTCAATCAAAGGGCCTGGCATCGCGAACGCGCTCGACAGGTCTGAGAAGAGTGATCTGCACGAGCAGCTCTCCAATATCGGCGGCAAAGACATCCCTGACAGCAAAGAAGTCATCGCGGAAGCTATTGCATGTGGCGTGAAAGGCAGCCGCAAGAAGCTGCGTTCTGCTGCTTTTGAAGCAGTGGAGAAAGCATTGTTTACAATGTTCCTGGACACCAGAGCTGCAAATGTTCCGGTGAGTGGAACACTACTCCAGAAGGAGGCAAGAGATTTCGCTTGCATAATGAAATTTAACACTTTTGTTCTAAGTGCTGGCTGGTTGCAGCGCTTCAAGGAATGCCACAACATTGTCAGCAAAGTCATTAACGGTGAGTGTCAGTCAGTGGACAAAAAAGAGGCTACAGCATAGGTGAAGAGCAGCATTGGTCAGTTGTTGGAGCAGGGAGATGTGTTTAAGGCTGACGAGACTGGACTTTTTTTTTTCAAATGCTGCCGCAGAGAACTGTATTGCTCAAAGGCGATCGTTGCCATAGTAGGACGCAAAGCAAGGTGCGCATCACTGTGCTTCTTAGTGCCAACATTGAAGGCTCGTAGAAGATGCCAACATTGGTGATCGAGAAAAGCACATCTCCACGAAGCTTCAAAGGAAAGCAGAAACTAAGGAAGACGATTGAAAAGACACTCGGAGTGAACCCAGGAAGTGAACAGATTCGACACACCATGGTGGAGGGAGTGGGGAAACTGGAGTATGTTTCCAACAAGAAGCAATGGATGTCAATAGACATTTTAGCCAAATGGCTTCACGACTGAGATGAGAAGCTCAAGAAGCAGAAGATAAAGATCTGCCTATTCTTGGACAATCGCACAGTTCAACACACAACTGCTGTACTTGAGCGGTAATACAGCCCCTCGACCAAGGTGTCATCATGGCTTTCAAGGCGGACTATTGAAAGCGTCCGATTGACAGGGTGTTGATCAACATGAGCCTGAAACTCAGTACCAACATCCGACTTGTATATGGCGATCGAGATGCTTCAGGTCGCATTGATCAGCATTAACGTGCAGGAATCCTTCCAACAGCCGTCCTGCCTGGCACCCCTTTTCGGGGCCCCCAGCCGTCCCACCTGGCGCTCCTTTTTGGGGCCTCCCGGGCCCCCGTCTGGACGGGCCCTGTCAGCGAGAAGCCGTGGACTTCGGCTAGGAGCCGCTGCTTGAGCGTCGCCCGAAAGGGGCCGCGGCCTTGAGCATAGCCGTGGCCTTCAGCTAAGAGCCACGGCCTGAGTGCAACCGTGGCCTTCAGCTAAGAGCCGCGGGCTGGGCGTGGCCCGGAAAAGTGGGTCACGGGAAGTGGTGCACACGAACAGATTGTGTTGGTGCACGTGATCGACCGAGGTTGAAATTATAAAAGGCGCGCTCTGAGCTGAGAGGGGGGAGACGACGGACGGACGACAGGGACCAAGGACTGGCGGACGGGCAGCCCCGCTGACGCCGGCCCTGCCGGCCGCTCCCTGGGGCCCGGCTCCCGACGTCCCGGATCTGATGAGAGACCACGGGGACGACCGAACAACGCCTCTCCTGGGCGGACGAATCGCCGGAGCCATGGTGGAGCATGGCCGGCCGCGTGGTCATCGGCGGCGTGGACCACCACCAGCGGCCCAACGGACCAGCCTGGGTGCGACGACCTCGGGGCAAGCGACATCAGGGCAAGCTAACGCCGGCCACAGCTTGGCGATCGACAGCATCCCCCGCACTGACGTAAGACGCAAATAAACAGTTGCACCAAGAGTTGTGCAGCGTGGTCCATTCGAAGACAGGCGGCAGGGAATGGAAAGGAACCTCACAACCACGAGCATCATTGGGAACTGCTTCTAACACACATCATTTGGCCGCGATGCAAGCGACTGGCGACGATGAGGTGGTGGACTTTATCGCTGTACCAGCCAAAGCCGCCTCGTCAGATAAGCTGTAAGCCAAGCGGCTTAAAGCTCCCCATTTTGTAAGCTTCATTCCTCCAACAAAGAACAAGCAGCTCCCGCCTCGGCGCTGTGTCGTCTGCTGCGGGGCCTCGTCTGCCAGAGGGACCAAGATCCGGAAGGAAACAAGATATTGGTGCAAAGACTGCAACGTGGCGGTTTGCGTAATCCCATGCTTCGAGATCTACCATACGAGGACCAACCTCTAGATTCTCTAAGTCGGTCCTCAGTTGGGCACAGAATGTCAAGAAAAAAATAAAACTTTGCCAGTTTCTTTTCTTTGCAAAGTATGAATGTTTTATCTCCATAATAAATGTTCCAAAAATAACACGGACTGTTTTCTGTTTGAGAATAGAAAAATTGCATTGGAAGCAGTCATTACGTATGAATACAAAAAATAACAACATTTATTAACTAAGGTCCAATATTAAAAATTGGTCATAGCTTCTTTTAAAATAATGTTTCTAAACAATGCAGGAAGAAAACAATTTGGGAGATTCGCATCATTTTTTTAAACAAAATTTGGCAGTGAAAGGGTTAACAAAATTCTGGTGTAATTTCAGCACACAGGCCTAGGAAGACTGCTATTTTATACTAAAATTATAGAAAAATGACAGCAAAACTATATTTTTCCTATACTTTATACATTCTTATTTTTTCTTGACCAGTAGTCTAAGGTCACGTATGTAGTAAGTCGCAGCACAAAAGCAGGAACCGATTTATGCTGTCGATTCAAAGGGCAGTCATGCCATCGGGACCACCCGTACCTAAATGCAGAAATCTGACGATCGTCGTAAGTATGGCACTTCACGCTTGGAGCACCGTCGGCGGACAGCACTTGAACGCTCGCTTCGAGCACTGGCAGTGGAAGGCTCGCTTGGAGTGTCGTCAGACGGCACTTGAATGTTTGCTACAAGCACCGTCGGACGGCACTCTAGACACAGCCATTCAAATATTCGGGTAGGTTAACCCCCTTTCGGAAAAGTTGTGCACAATAAAATATTTTACTGCTTTTTCGATGCAGCTGATCTTTAGATGCTTGCTTCCCACGAGAATGAAGGCTAATTTAGACATTTGTGTTCTGAGTATGACCGACTGCATTACAAATGCTGATGACAAGATGCCACACGGGTATCTATAGCTAAGCAACCCACGTAGCATCTCGTGTAAGCATTCGTAATGGGCCGTACTTATAACGGAAATGTCTGAGTAAGCCTTCAATCGGGGTATGTATAGCTGTGACTTATGCACGGTTCGCGTATGTTAGATATTGTCCGTCAAAAGTCATCACATCCTGGATTAATCCAGTGGGATTAACTCGGGATGGCCATAAAGAATCCTGACACCATCCTGAGTTAATCCTGTGGGATGTCCTGCGGACAACCTGAAGACCTACCAGTCTGTGACATTTGGACACTATGAGGAGATTGCCAGGAGACCCTCGGGACATCACCAGTACGCACGCCAGTTTTGGTACGGACGTCCTTTGGATATCCTAAGATTATCAGTGTGTTGTTTGGGGTTACACATAGCTCGAAACCTTGGGGTAAAGTTACGTCGGACGTGACCTTAATTTTTATTTCGGGTTCCGTCGGACGTAACGCTGGACCCTTCGTACTTTAAAACAGAAGAGCAAGGAAACGCTGTCACTTACTTGAGAAAGCAGGCTGTCACGTCGACTTGAATCAAAACAATGTTCACCTTGACCTTTGAGAGCACGCACGGAGAGCGTCTTGTTTCAAGAATTCGCCGACTCGCTTATCTACCAAAGAGATGCATGCACTGAATGTCACGATGAGAGTTCCTTGTACAAAGGAACTGTCATCATACTATTAAAAAATTCGAACACCAACCAAGCCCTTCTGTAAGGACCCAACGTTTCAAGGCCAATTCGGCCTCTTCTTCAGGGGCGACTACGGCTATGGCCGTTGGGGAGCAGTGTCCTTTCCTTTTTCTTCTACGGCGTGTGTCTGGTCTTCTTCTTCTACGGCTCTGCCTTTTTCAATAATGTGACGAAGCCCATTCACATAGGCGGATGGTAAAGCCCCTAGAGATCTGTTGATGTTCTGTGGCGTTGTTTGAATGTGCCATGATTCTAGGAACAGTCTTTTTCGAGGATTTGTATACCGAAAACCGACGCACACTGGACGCAACCTCCAGTTTCAATCCAACCACCCAGCCAATCATAAGGCGTCGGTGGTCAGGACGCTCTTAACCAGGGCAAAGACCATCTGCTCATCAGAAGAGGACAAAAGAAAGGAGGAACGAACCGTCATTGCTGACCTTAAGAAAAACGGCTACAAGAGCAGCTTCATCCATCGCGTTGCCCGCCGTGTAGGCCGAAACCAGCGACACGTGCAGCAACAGTTAAGTGCGAATTTCCGCCCAACCTCCCGCATCAGCGTTCCCTACATCAACGGAACAAGCGAGGCACTGGCACGTGTGCTTGCGAAAGAGGGTATCCAACTAGCGCACAAACCTGTGTCTACCCTTGGACGACTCATGCCACGCCCAAAAGATCGCCCTGGTAAAGAAAGGGCCCAAGGCGTTGTATATAAGATTCCGTGCGGGGTTTGCGCGGCCTCATACATTGGCGAAACGAAGAACTTTAGAGAGAGAATCCGTCAACATAAAAACGACGTGCGCAAGTTCGATCACGAGCGTAGCGCGGTTGCTGAGCACTGCGACGTCAAGGACCATCGCATTGACTTCGACAACGCATGCATCGTTGACGTTGAGACAAATCCTCGAAAAAGACTGTTCCTAGAATCATGGCACATTCAAACAACGCCACAGAACATCAACAGATCTCTAGGGGCTTTACCATCCGCCTATGTGAATGGGCTTCGTCACATTATTGAAAAAGGCAGAGCCGTAGAAGAAGAAGACCAGACACACGCCGTAGAAGAAAAAGAAAAGGACACTGCTCCTCAACGGCCATAGCCGTAGTCGCCCCTGAAGAAGAGGCCGAATTGGCCTTGAAATGTTGGGTCCCTACAGAAGGGCTTGGTTGGTGTTCGAATTTTTTAATATTAATTACTCCCAACCAGACAGATCTCTGTCAAATGTTTACTTTTAAATGTCATCATACTGTATGATTTAATTTGCTGTATACCTATTTTTTCGGAGCAAATAAAGATGAAACAACTGCGCGCCAACACCGAAAAAAAAAACGCACAAAGAAAAGAGAGGGTTGTCGGACAAAGTACAAAATTCCCCAAATGTATTGTTCTTCACAATGCGAAAAACAAACCTTCTTTTTTTTTTAGTTTCTGAAGGATTATAAATATAATTAAACAACGTTATATGCCCTTTAAATTTGTTATGTTTAAATTGTATTGCCGTTATCTTAAATAATTTAGGTGGTAATTCTAGTTTCGTTTCGGAGACCGCGCCACGGCAGCCACGGCCGCGCGGTTTTCGAAAACGAATGATCAGCAACGTTTTAGATACTGTTTGTCCTGATGCATAATTATTTTCTGAAAAAAATAAAAGGTCCAAGATTGTGTGTTTTAGGGACGCAATGCATAGGTATGTACTTGCCAGGAGCACGAAACGAAGTAAACGACACTCCGCCGAACGCTTACTGAATTTTTAATGGAAAAATGCAGCTACCGTAAACGGGCAAGAATGGGCCCCAGTTTCCTTATTAAAATTTAAAAATAAATCACTTATAATTAAGTTTTGAATAAGGTATTTGGCATCTGGTTCGGACGTCTAGCGCTTTATATTTGGGCAAAAATTATCGTTCGGCGATGCATAATTTATTTTTGCACCTAAAAAAAAAAAAAAAAAAAAAAAAAACTTTTTTTTTTTGCGTTGTATTTATTTGACTATGCCTGTTTTTACTTATTTTCTTTTTCCACACGAAAGCTGTCGCAAAACGGCGCATTGGACGAACCAACCGTTGACGTGGTGTACAATCCGCGAGTTCCATGTGAAGGCTTGTCCACAATAGGGTGCCTTCATGTGCGCTTTGCTTAGGGTGGAGACATCTGGCCATTTTGTCTCACACTTTTATTTTTTTGTTCAGAAGCGCGTGAAAGAGCGTGTGCCTGCACGCGCTCGTGGCGCTAACTGTGCTACGGCGACATTTTGTTTTCGTCGATTTCTTTGTATTTTCTCCGTGAGCGCGTGCTGTCGGCATCGGGTACTACAAAGGGTGGCATCACCCTAAACAGAAGGACATTGAGGCACCCTAGTCCACACAGCCCCGATACGTTATGTAAGCGTACGTACAAGTACTACAAGCCACTGGGAAATCTGCGCTTCATATCAAGCGTGGCTACCGATTCGAGAAGGTATACCTGGCACGCGACATTCGAGACACGAATGTTTCGGTGACTCGTAACGCAAGAAAATGGTGTTGTATGAACAGTTGAACCGAGCTCAACTCCTTTCGTTACGTTACGACGAGCCTTGTGTCCTTGGCTGCCACGGTAATACACCGTCCCAGCTCGTCGTCACCGAAACATTTGTGTCTCGAATGTCGCGTGCCAGGCTTAATACGAAGCACAGATTTCCCGGTGACTTGGAAGAGCATAGAAAAAATCGTAAGGGTGCAGGCGAGCTGGTGAATATTAACCATGTTAAAGGACCTTGGCAACAATATTCAGTTGGAATGGTTTTCACTCTACACGAGCTTACTGGCACACCTGGGACTCAAGGATACCCACACGCAACACCACTGGCCAAGAAATTCCTTTGTTGCTGTGTAATTTCAAGGACAAAAGCGATCATTTTCATTCAATCTCACCTTTACAAAATTTGATGACGTAATGTGGGGGTCGCAGTACACCCAAGTGACGATATTTGAATGCGGTTCATAGATTGGACCCGAGCATTGCGTGGGCACTCGACTTTGGCTCGTGATAATTGCTAGCTCGAGAAGCATTCGAGTAGTGACCCGTGTCCAATCGCTGCAACCACGACAACAGCCGAGCCATAACAATGTCTGGAACTCAGCGCGTGTCCTGCGCTTTGCCAATTCCAGCGCGTGGCTATGATGAACACTGGCGGCATATAATCGGCTCCAGATCACGTGGCCGCTTGTTCTGGCTGTGAGTTGAGGGGGTAAACGCTGCTCGTTTTTCTTAAATTTTTTTTTGGGACTTCTATTGCGTGGGGTGAAGAACGAACGCGTGTTTCATAGGTCATTAACGTTAGGGATCCGTTTTAAGCGGTATTTGCGCAAAGTACAAAAATTGTTGCATCGCTCCTTTAATATTCACCAGCTGTCTATTTTTTGTCCCTTCTACGATTTGATGCTTCTTCTCTACCCCAGTCTCAGGTTATTTCAACATGGACTTGGAAGAATTCACAATGAAGTCGTTATATATATATCGTGAAATGTCCGGTCGGGTGTGCTTACCACACACGACCGGACATTGGGAGGCCCAGAGTTCAAACCATTTAAGTTCCGCGTGGGCCAAGTTCGTTTTTTCGACGCAACCTGTCTTAACTTAACAAAAAAAAAAAAACAACAAAAAAACAGGCAGGTAAAGTTTGAACAACCAATTTTATTTTCAAAAACAATTTACAACGCGCTCGCACTATTTTTATTCTTTTTTTTAACGATGTACAAGACTTGATTAGTACGCTAAAAGTCGCTGCCCGTGCTAGGCACATGGTGGACACATACAGCTAAAATGAAAAAAAAAAAAAGTGCAAAATTGAAAAGGAGACGCGAAATCAAATTAAAAGGATCGGGCGGGCTAATAAGAACCAGGGGTCAACAACAGTAGTTAGATAAAACAAAACAATTAGCTTATGTCTCTCACACTTTCTTTTTTTCTTTTTATCGCAGTGCGGGGTACCGGCACGACTGTAAAGAAACTACAGCTCCTTTCGGCCGCCGAGTATACGTTGTGTTTATTTTATTCTGGTAGTTTCACTGCTCCTTCTTTCTGAATTTCATTTTTTGTTGAGTGCCATCTGTATTCACACGCTACCGTTCTCGTGTCTCGAAGTCAGTGCCACAATGCGCATAATGTACGAACACCTGTAAAGTCCATCCTTTCGGTGTGCCTAAAATAAATAAACGAATACAACAAAAGATGAATATTCAAAGCTAAACCGCCCCCCCCCCCCCCCCCCGGCCAAAAAAAAAAAGAAAAATATATATAAATTGAGTGTTGTTTTTTTTAAGTATATTTTACGGTACAGGCCGGTGCTCGTTTATGAACAAAAGCTGCCGCCGTTGCGAATAGCGTGGTCGGCGTAAAATCAGAACGTCCGTCGACGGAGGACAGCACAGAAGAATGCCTCTCGCGCCCGCACGCAATCGCCTCATGATAGACCGCAGCGAACGCTACAAGCCATCCCAGCCAATCACGCACTGCGGACATAACACGTGACCACGCGTCCCTCGAGTCGCTGCCAGGGGTAAACTAAGGACAGGAACAGAACTGGCAGAACGCGGCAAATCGTAAAACCGCTGACATCGGTGGACCAGGGCAGAGACAGCACGAAAACGACAGCGAGCGCGCGGAGAAAGAAAGCAGACGACAACGACGACAGGGTAGACTTGCGTTCGTTTTGCGGCGACGAGGTGAGGTTGTTCGAGCGCGCTTTCGAACTCTGCGCGCCTTCCGAAAGTCATGTGCGGTTACGTGCACGACGGTGCACGGCATGCACCCAGTCCCAAAGCTTCTAACCGACGATGGGCCCCAGGCGTGTAGCGCCATCTACTGCAACAGACATCAACCTGATTTTCGTCACATCGCCTGGTCTCGTTGAGTCTCCTCTCCCTTCTACAACGTGGTCACGAGAAACTCCACCGGCATTGGATTGGCTACGATATCGTTCGTAGCTTCCTCAGCGGTCCAGCGTTCGGCGAAACGAAGTTTAGCGCGCCGTGAAAGCGAGAAGGGGGGTACGATCCCGCACAATGGAAACCGGTTTGCGTCGGCAAATCGCCGTCGACGGACCGACCACCGCGGACGGAGTCCCCATGAAAAGTCGCCTAACCTTCCACCGCTGCCTCTGCTTGTGCAGCTCAAACGATGATGAGCTGTCCGCTTCCGCGAAACACAGCGTGCGCGCGCGGCTGTGGGTTCCGCCTGCCCACGTGTTCCGTCACAGCTAAAGACTAGGAGCTCCTAAAACAACTTAGAACAAGAAAAGAAAGAGAAGAAAAAAAAGTAAAAAGGGTGTAATTAGCTGCGATGAGAAAATAAGACCAGCTGTATGCATGGAATTGTCCTACCTTAAAAGTAAAACATAGAAAGCAAGCTTTCGAAAGAAACATCGTTGTCAATACCTTTTTTTTTTTCTTTTACCAAATTTTAACGCTGTATATATGGAAATTGGGCACAAGCTAAATTGTGAAACATTTCGTGTGCGAGTGTTTTCTGGAGAATAATTTGGTTTTGTACAAAAAATAAAGCTTTCTGCAGATTGTTTTCTATGTTGTGGCCGTGCTCTGGACGTTGGTACGCACGCATCTCTGTTTTCTAAATAGGAGTTTTTTTTTTTTTTTTTTTTTTTAATCGTTATTAAACAGGGCGCGTGTCTAAGTATGATTGTCTCCTACTAGGGCCTTCGTGACCTACAATATGTTTAAATAAATAAAAAAAAAAGCACTAGATGCGTGTTATAAAATCTACGCTATTACACACTTCTGAGATATAACGGTTCTTCATCATGGGCCGGGTAGATTAAATATATGGAAAAGACTGGAGATCGAATTTTACATTGTTTTGCTGAGCAACGCGGCGAATGTCCCAAAGAGGAGGAGTGTGTGTGCATCCCCCCCCCTACACACACACACACTAACATCTGAGAGAGTATGTATATGTTTTACAGCCTCCAAAGGGTAAACATTTAGGAAAATGGGTACATCTAAACGACGCTGAACTGGTGCAATAAATAATAATAATAATAATAATTTTATTTGCTCTTCCAAGGGCGCAGGTGGTGGTGTGCTGGGCTGAACAGATAGGTGAGAACCCTTACGCGGTGCGCCTGTCAGCTTTGCGTATGTTTAGAAAGCAAGAACACAAACATATATATATCTAATGGGAATGAGTGAAGATTGACAAGTGCAGCCGTAGTAATATTGTGAACGAAGAGGGGAGAAGGTGATTATTGAATTCACTGCTTTAAAGTTAGGGACAGGAAAAGGGAAAGAGAGCTGGCGAAAAATGGGAAAGGGTTGCCGTGGCGACCCTTTCCCTAACTTTAAAGCAATAAATTCAATAATCACCTTCTCCCCTCTTCGTTCACTATATATATATATTTTTTTTTCTTACTTTTTGCGGATTAAAATGTTTTACAGCCGACGAGACAAATCGGGAGAGGATATCACCCCTCCTCTCCCCCACGACCGAGGCAAAGCGGCAAAGCAGCAGAGGCTGGCAGAGGCATGCGAGCGGAAACGGGAAAAAGGCATTCCGGCGGCCCCCGCTTCGTTGCGCTGCGAGCGCTAGCGAGCCGAACACGGACCCTCCATTGAAGCCAACAGCAGCAGCAGCTACGATGGCGTCCACGATCAGCGCTACGGCAACAACACAATCAACGCGACAACAACGACGCCTAAACATCTCCACGACCTCCGAATCCGCCCTGAACCCCCGCTAACGCTGCCGTGATCGCCGAGCCACCCAAGGATCTCGTCGGTCTGTGTGTGTCGGCGGCGGTGGTGGTGCTATCCGTGCGTGCTTGTCCCCGGCGTGAACGTGTTGTCGGAGACCCGTACTACTAGCCCGATGCATCCCGTTCTCGTTGTTGTGGTCCGTGTCGCCGTGGCGGCCCTTCAAGTCACCGACAATAGCGGATGTTCAAGCGCCCCGGCGGCAGCGGCGAAGACGGTGTAGTGATCTGCGGTGGCGTGACAACACCGGTTTGTGGTCGGTCGCCCGCCCTAAACTCCCTGCTGGAGAACGTTACCACGGTAAGCTGGATTTCGTGAGTGTGGGAGGGTTGACTTCGGCGGCCTAAACTACTCTTTTGGTTCTTGTTATTATTTCTTGTCGCGGCAAACGCCTCGGCGGTCCTTGGGATGTGCCCTTTTCTTTTTCTCTCTATTTGTCGGTCCGCCCAAGTCGTTTGGTTCGTGGTGAAAGTGACACGGATTCCTCGTCGTTGAGAAGAGGCGGATTTCGGATATTCCTCTTTTTATTATTTTCTGTTCTCCACCGAACGTCGGCTTCTCTCGTCTTTGCGCTGCTCGTTGCAGCGTGGGGTACGGCGAGCGCTGCTTGGAGCTACCCGACCCAAACCGAGAAAACCAAGTCGTTTTTAGGGTCCGTATCTTCTTTAAAAGGAGCCATGTTAAAGTCGAACCTAACTCGAATGTTTCGAACGCTTCTCTTTCTTCAGCGATGTAACACGCGCGCACACACAGAAAGGAAGCTCTGTTTTTCCAAATCTTTCAGTTATCGGCCCCGCCGTGGTACTGACTCCCCGAAATTCTTAGAAGCGGGGACGCCCGCCGCCTTCACGGGAGAAGTTGGTATCCGTGCGTGGAGAAGCGCGAACCTAATGCGGGTCATTTTTTGTTGTTGTTTTGTTTGCGCTTACTTTTCGAGCTGCTAGCTTGGCGGCCAGGGTCGTCGTTCTCACTCCAGTTCTCACGACGACTCGCGTAGTAAAACCGGAGCGCTGGGACACAGCGAGGTAGGTTTCTCTCTTTTTCTTTTTCGTTTCTCTCGCGACAGCGATCTGCAGGCGACGCGAAACGTAAACATAGCCGCAAGGCGCCTTATCTACGTTTAAACTGCCCCCTTGGTGCGAGATCTCTCGACCCGATTGCTGGCCTGCACCGTGCACCTCGAGGTGTCCGGATCATTCATACCACGACCAACTGCCCAAGGCGTGGTTGCGGTAAAACCTATTGGCCGATTCACACGTTTGGATTTGAGGGTGACCGTATGCATTTGAACCGCTTGTGGCTGGCTGTAGCAAGAGGACACACTTTCACACTGGTTTGAATTGAATCTCGTGGGAGCTCAGTGTCCTCATGAACCCAATACCCACCAAGGTAGCGCTAGCAGATGGGCACGGCCCTGTCGTGCCTTTGGGCCCCCGTTTTTACGTTGTCGGTCCACAGTTCTAGGCTTCATCTACGGCACATTGAAATACTGGCATGTTGGGTTAGATCTGTTCGAGGCACTGGGGACGCTTGATTTGTGTGTGGGCATTTGCAGGAAACTGAAGTTTTTGCTCACTGCAACAGAGCATTCTCTTCTCTTCTCAACACACTTTTCAAGCATGGTAAGGAGGGAACAGGCAAGAAGGACCATAAATTATTGCTGCATAATACTACGTAAAATTACGAGGTACCGTAACTTCTAGACTGATGGAGGGGGCCATGCAGTCTAACATTTAATGCTAATTGTTTGCCATATTAATCATTCATCTGCCACAAATTTAATGTGTTTAGATCTCTGTTTTGTCCTGTGACAGAATCACAGAAATGATTGCCTGATACGTCTTTTTAGTTTTACATTGTGTACAGGACGTGACGGGGTATGGTAAGCTTAGTCTACAGGGGTACAAACTTTATTTAGTCACAATCCATGAATGGTACAGTGTTGTATCAACTCTGCCAGTGTGACGTGCAAATGCATGGATGAGCGTAGAGTTGTTAAGTGACTGCTTAGGAAGTCCTTGTCTCGATAAGGCGATCTCCATAAACACTGTTATTCGCAAACTTTCCTGTCGTTTTCTCCTCAGATCATGAATCGTTGAGAATGCTGGGATAACACGCTATTTGTGGGGCACTCTTGCTATCTGCTACCTTTTTAGCCACTGATTATATCTTTGAAGCAGTTGAACAAGATAAAAATCAAACACAAAATTCAGATAAAAAAAATTTTTTTTTTGCTTCCAGTTAGTGGAATTTGTGACTGAGCTTGGCTTTGAAAAGAGATATGTGGAATAGTTTTAATGCTAGGCAGGTCATTTTGCATTTAGAGAACGGTGTGATTATTCTCATTTCGTGCGGCTTATGAAACAGGACTTCTTGTTTTTGATTAAAGCTCGACGAATCCAAATTTTTTGCATCCTTGGTATTCACCCTAGCAATTCGGTTGTGACCAATTTCTTTTGGAAAACCATGAAATCACAAGCCATAAAAACAAGAATTTTCAGGAGCCATAAGACAGGCAGCGCAAAAGCAATAACTATTCTTATAAACACAACTCACCCAGTTAAAATTAGCTTCAAAAATAAAGGGGAGAGTTAAAAACAGGTGTTGCTGAATACTTGCTTTTTTATTAAAGAGGCCATTAAATTAATTTCTTTCTGTTGCTAAATACTGCTCAGAAATAATCCTTGATGTTCGTAATTATCACATACAGAATGCACATTATTTTTTCCTTCAAAGCATTTGAATGTGAACCCTTGTCCTTCATAACTTATAAAAAAACATTATCCTTCTCTCCACACAATAACAGTTGCAGAAAAAAAAAAGAAAAAAAAAAGCTGGAAAGTTGAACGGAAGCGTTGCCCACTGAATTCTGCGGGAAAAGGGATGTGTGCGCCATCCGTGACATTACATTTGTCCGTGATGTTGCACCTCTTTTGAGGGTCGCCACCTAGTCCATCGGTTCTCAGACTATGTTTCTAGGCATCAAGGCGTTCCCCAGAGCATCTTCATGGGCTTCTTAGAGTTTCTAAAATTTTGCTGCCGTATCTCTCCCTAAGTAAAGTGCTTTTTCCAGTTTGAGCAGTACTTTAGCTCATTTGAGCCAAATATTGTTGCATAACTATGTGACAAATTATCCCTAGCATGTGCATTACTGCTTTACAAGGTCTGTGGGGTTCCTGCGCTGCTTTGTCTCATCAGTGTCGAGACTGGGAGGGGTTCTTCGAGATCGGAGAAGTTTGGTAGCCTCTTTCCCAACCAAAAAAATGTATTCTTCAATGAAGACGAGCAGGCATCCCCTCAATTCACAACCAGAATAAGTGTGCGCATAATTTGGCGCCACTTAAGTGCGACCAACGTTCGTCGTAGCCACGAAGCTGGGGTTGGCAATGCACGGGGTACATGCTGTGTTCTGAGCATTGTTAGATTTTGGCTATCACTGCTGCTGTGGCGATTGAACGCGAACCCCAACCTTCATGTTTGCCAAGGCAGTGTTAATTGTGACTGAGCACAGGTCGAGTGCTCGCTGCATTTGACTGTCGTCACCGTGAGGCGATGCCTCCAACTACATCACCATTGTGATTCCTACGACTGTGTCAGCAAGATTTTGAGAAGGAGAGACGAACGAAATGGTCTGCTATCGTCAAAATTACACAGTGACTAAGAAGCTCCTTTCGCAGTAGTGCTGCGTGGAAGTATACCTGGGTCACACTTTTCTCAGTATGCAAGTATAAAGTGCATAACATTCAAACCAAGCATTGTTTTCTGGCCCCTTTAATATTCAGTCGGTGGTTTACATGGCGACGAAAGGCAGAGGTTTGGAATCTTTTCCCTTACTTTCTGGCTATGGATGTCTCAGTATTGCAGGTGTACAGTCTTAAGAAATGTGCACCCCCTAGTTAAAACTCTAGCTTGTAAGAGGGTTTATATGTTTTTTTAACGTCACGACAGTTCTATAGGTCAAGATTCTATGAGAAAATTCTTGAGCATGAACATCTGGTGAGAAGATGATGTTAAGTGTGAAAAAAAAATTCAGATATTTACAAATCTATGTAATACGAAATTAAAGCGCAACTCTTGAGGTATTTTGATTCTACGTTATACCACGCTAAAGAATTTGAGGAAGAAATATCTATGTACAAATATAGACCTCATACTCCTGCGTACATAGTATAAATTAAAATTATATATATATATGTATATATATATATATATATATGTATAAATAAATAAAAAGAGAGAGAGAGAAAACATAGCGCAGGATGACGAAAAGTATATACGGAAGAAAACGCACTTGAGGTGGTTGTTGGAGTTTTTAAAACATATTATTCGTAAAGTTTGTCGACGTTTCGGCCTAAGACGAACCTTTTTTTGAGATTATTCGTAAAGTTCATCAACGTTTCGGCCTGAGGCAGACCTTTTTCAAGAAAAAGGTCTGTCTCAGGCCGAAACGTCGACAAACTTTACGAATAATATGTTTTAAAAACTTTAACAACCGTCTCAAGTGCGTTTTCTGCCATATATATATATATATATATATATTCCCTCCTCCTATATATATATATAGGAGGAGGGAATGTATGAAGGACCCTCCTCCTCCATACCCTCCCCTCCTCCCCCAATTTCCCCGCAAAATTTAGCTGGAAAATTGACATCACATGGCCTCAACACCAATTCAGTTTCCCCGCTAAATTTAGCGGGAAATGACGTCGCATGACTTCGTGTTACGTCACCTATGAACAAATTCAGTTTCTCCGCTTGATTTAACAGGAAAATTGACGTCACGTGGCCTCAACACCAGTTCAATTCCCCGCTAAATTTAGCGGGGCAACTGGATTGGTGTTGAGGCCATGCGACGTCAGTTTTACCACTATATTTAGTGGGGAAACTAAATCCGCAGTGTTGCATTACGGGACCTCACAGACCTATGCATTAATTCAGTTTCTTCGCTAAATTTAACGGGGAATTGAATTGGTATGTATAGGTCTGTGACGTCCCATAATGCAACTCGCGCGGTTACGTTGACGCCGCGAAGCACAGGAACGAGTGCCTAAGAGCTGCGCTCTAAAATATTTTGAAAAGCAGCAAGGTTATTTCTTTATTGTTAAAAAAATCTTTAAAAAATCTTTCTGGGAGCTTCGAGTTTGCGGACAAAGCTACAGTTTGTTTCAGTTTTAGTGCTAGCAAAGCCGAAGCTACAAGCGCACGTGCTTGGCAGGGAAGCTAAAAGGCCAGTGCTCGCTCTTATGGCTTCTGCTGTACCCGCATTTAGAGTGAGACAGAGTAGAATAATGCACTTGGCT